ACATGACTTTGCTCCTCATTCATCTTCTGCCATGATTGGCAAGAGGCCTTCCAGCCCAATGAACTGTGGAGTCAGTCAGCCTCTTTCCTTTATAAATTACAGTTTCAGAGTATATCTTTATCAGCAGCATGAGGATAGACAGCTACACTGCATAACTCAAACACCCCCAAAGCTAGTGGCTTAAACAGCATCATTTATAGAATCTCCTATTTAGTAACTCAGGTATGCAGGCAGGGTTCAGCTGGTTGACTCTTCTTGCATCTACAGAGGTCCCCGGGTGCTTCTCTATGGTGCTGCCATGGGGATGGCTGAGAGGCTGGGCTCAGTGGGTGCTGTGGATGGGAATTTACCCATAAATGGTCCCTCCAGCATAGTGGTTTCAGGGTATTGGATTTCTTACATGGCAGCTCAGGCTTCCAAAAACAGCGTCCCAATAAGCTACCTATGACCCTAGCTTTGGGAGTCCCAGACAAGTGAATCATGAGGCCAGCCCAGATTCAAGAAAAATAAATTCTGCTTCCGGTGGAGGAGTCCCAAAGAATTTGCAGCCTCATCCCCAAACCCCATACTCTGGGAACTCATGGGCTAAAACAACAGAAAATGTCCTCAGCCAGTTACAGAGCCAAGAGAATGTCCTCTACAAACCTCTCCCCCTGGCCCCTCTGTAGTTGCTCAGGGGTAAAATTTTACCTGGATGACAAGAGAATCTCTTTGCTCTTACAACAATAGTAAAATCTTAGCCAATCAGAAGCAGAAAATGCCAAGTTGTCAGAAACTTCTATCACCACCTCTATAACAGCATTCTGAGCAGAGTAACATCTGGAAACTAAGATGAAAACAAATTCTCTTACTATGGTGCTTATTCTTCAATGCATTTAAAACCATCAGCCAAATCAACAAATCAGTTCTCAGTCATATTACATCTAAGCACAAAAGCTCATGGCTCCAGTGCCTCAATATGGATGAAGGCGAATATGTTTTTTATTCTTTTATTTTTTACAATTATGGCACATCACCGCTTACGTTCAGTACTGAAAAATACAGGGATGGGTCAGAGTCAGAATTTATCAGCCTCAGTCCCTATTCTCAAGGGAGCTGTAGCAGCTTGTTGGGATAGGCACACAATTAAACAAGTTATTACGTTGCCACTGGAGGCTGAGTGCCAGCAAGGATGAAAATGAGTGAAGTGGACCAGAGTAATGCAATAGGGACAGGTGGGGACCATGGTAAATTGGAGAGCACATAATCCAGCTAAAAGGGCAGCTGGTACTCAGCCTCAATTGCTTGGTGTCATGCAGGAAGCACACTTTCTGGCCAGAACTGATTGTTCAAGAAAAACTGTTGAGTTTTCTTTGTCAGGTAACACTCATTATCACAAAATAGCTGCCACTGATCCAGCTATCACATCCTCACATGCTGGTGCCCAAAGCAAAAATGGAGGGCTCTTCCTCAGGTAGGAGTTTCTCCTTTTTTTTTTTTTTTTTTTCAGAGACAGGGTCTTACTCTGTCACCCAGGCTGGAGTGCAGTGGACACAATCACAGCTCACTGCAGCCTCAACTCCTGGAAGCTCAAGCAATCCTCCCACCTCAGTCTCCAGAGTAGCTGGGACTACAGGCACACGCCACCACACCTGGTTAATTTTTTAAAAATATTTTATACAGACAGATTCTCACTATTGCTGCCCAGGCTGGTCTCAAACTCCTGGCCTCAAATGATCCTCCTGCCTCGGCCTCCCAAAGTGCTGGGATTACCGGTGTGAGCCACCATGCCTGGCAAAGCAAAGTCTTCAGTTCCTTTATTTGGTTGCTGGGCTGTATTTCTTCAGACACTTCTGAGGCCGCCTTTGGAGTCACACCTTTGGAGGGGCAGAGAATATTCATGGCCAAAAATAGACAGCCACCCCCATGAGGATGGTGAAACCATCAGAAACCGAGGAGCCACACCCAGCCCAGACAGCAGAGCCAGCTGTGGATACCTCTTCCCAAGTCCCTATTCAGTGACTTTACAGGGGCAGCTTAATATTGGTATGATATGGGTGTTTACAGCAGGGAGTTGGCAAGACCATGAGCCATGGCAGTTTTCCCCACAGAGCAGGGAACCTTTTTTTTTTTTTCCTATGAAAATGGAGTCTCACTCCTCTGTTGCAGGCTGGAGTGCAATGGTGTGATCTCGCTCACTGCAGCCTCTGCCTCCTAGATTCAGGCAATTCTCCTACCTCAGCCTCCTGAGTAGCTGAGACTACAGGCACATGCCGCCACACCCGGCTAATTTTTGTATTTTTAGTAGAGATGGGGTTTCACCATGTTGCCGCGCTGGCCTTGAACTCCTGAGCTCAGGCAATCCGCCTGCCTCGGCTTCCCAAAGTGCTAGGGTTACAGGCATGAACCACCGCACCGGGCCAGCAGGGAACCTTTCCTAGCACATCTGTCTACACCTGTCTCCCAGACAGGGGACACCTGGTTCTTCTCATCTCTGCCTTTCGCACAATGGGATCCTCTCTCTCCTTCTCTCTCAGTCTGCTTCAAGTGACCATTTTTATATTCAGCCCGTATCCATATGGCTTCAGCCCAGTGCTGCAGGAGAGATCTGATTGGACCAGCAGCTTCTGGACAGCTCTACTGCGGGACCGGGCAGAGGTCACATGGCGGGAAGGTGGCTGCCCAGGCCCTGTGGGGTCAGCGGGTTGTGGGGACTGGCCATCCTCAGAGAAAGAGGTCATCAGTGGAGAGCACCAGGGACACCCCTCCCGAGCCAGGCCCACCCTAATCTGTGACCCAGGCTTCTTTCAAAGCCCCTTTCATTCCCCCAGGCCTTCACCGACCAGTACGCTGAGGAGGAAAATAAAATAAAATTCCAGAAAAACACCAGAGGGATTAGAGGGACCTTTTGGCAGTTTGGAGACACAATTCAGAGAGAGAGGAGGGCCGAGGGAGCATGTGGACGCTCCCTGGGCAGCGTTGCCGGTCATGCCTAACTTTTCTCGATCCATATTTCATTGAATTTTTATGTGTTAAAAATAATTGCCAGGGTGCGGTGGCTCACGCCTGTAATCCCAGCACTTTGGGGAGACCGAGGCCAGGTTTGCAGCCTGAGGTCAGGAGTTTGAGACCAGGCCTGGCCAACATGGTGAAACCCCGTCTCTACTAAAAATGCAAACATTATCCGGGCGTGGTGGCGGGCGCCTATCATCCCAGCTACTAGGGAGGCAGAGGCAGGAGAATCACTTGAACCGGGGCCCGAGGAGGTTGCAGCGAGCTGAGATCGCACCATTGCACGCCTCCAGCCTGGGTAACAGAGCCAAACTCCGTCTCAAAAAAAATAATATGTCAGAAACTGAAAGCAGAGGTCTCTTTTGCCCATGGCCAGCTCATGGCGCGGAGCTCTGGGGAGCTGGAATCTGGCGGTGCTTCACCTAAGAGGTCAAAGGGCTTCCCACGTTCCCACGGGCCTGGGTCCCCTTTGCCGTCGGCAACTCCTCCTGCCCCAGCACCTGGCCTGGCCTCTTGTTATCAGATCTCTGTTTATGAACTAGAGCAGTAACCCCAGGGCTGGGGCAGCCAAAGCCTGGCTCAGGCCAACTTCCGTGTTCCCATTGATCTCCCATCACATTCCATTACCGTCACTGCCGCACACATGCCTCTAAGCTCCAGCTTCGAAGTGAGCAGATTGGGGATTGCAGCTCCTTTTACTTGAGGCCTCTGGGTCTTCTAACCTTGAAGGTGACCTCAAACTAGAGCGAAGAGAACAGTCTCCTCCAGCAGACAAGGGTACCTACCATGCACCTGCTATTCGCCTGGTGTGTACAAACCCGGCACAGACCTGCTCCTGGCGATCACTGCCCGCACTTTACAGATGGGGAAACTGAGGCTCAGAGGGGTCTCACATTTAGGAACAGAGCTGAGATTTAAAGACAGAAGCTCCAGCTGGGCGCGGTGGCTCATACCTGTCATCCACAGATGGAAACTGAAGCTCAGAGGGAGTCACATCTGGGAACAGCTGACATTTGAAGACAGAAACCTCCAGCTGGGCACGGTGGCTCACACCTGTCATCCCAGCACTTTGGGGAGGCCGAAGTGGGAGGATCACTTGAAGCCAGGCGTTCAAGATCAGCCTGGGCAACATAGTGAGACCTTGTCTTTGCAAAAAAAAAAAAAAAAAAAAAAAAAGTTTAATTGGCCAGCATGGTGACGCACACCTGTAGTCCTTGTTACTCAAGAGGCTGAGGTGGGAGGATCACTTGAGCCCGGGAGTTCAAGGCTGCAGTAAGGCCATGATGATACAATCCAGCCTGAGAGACAGAATGAGACCCTGTCTCTAAAAGTGATATAATAATGAACAAGGAACTTTAGAGGCTTCTCACGGCCGCCTCAGGGCTTACTTGGAACAGAGTTTCACTGAGGTATACATCAAGGTCAAGGACAGAGGTCAAGGTCAGACAAAATTCAGGAAGACTGGAGTGCCCAGGTGCTCAGGAGGCAGTGCTGAAAAATGAGAGGGGTGGGGGCCGGATGCGGTGGCTCACACCTGTAATCCCAGTACTCTGGAAGTAAGAGGCAGGAAGATACCTGAGGTTGGGAGTTTGAGACCAGCCTGGCCAACGTAGTGAAACCCCATCTCTACTAAAAATACAAAAAATTAGCCAGGCTTGGTGGTGTGTGTCTGTAGTCCCAGCTACTCAGGAGGCTGAGGCAGGAGAATTGCTTGAACCCAGGAGGCAGAGGTTGCAGTGAGCTGAGATCTCACCACAGTACTCCAGCCTGGGTGACAAAGTGAGACTGTGTCTCAAAAAAAAAAAAATTTTTTTAATTAAAAAAATAAAGAAAGAAGAAAGAGAAGGTGGGCCACAACACTGGTACATATGTGGGGCTTGGCTCAAGGCCCGGCCTCCCTGCAGACCCAGGTATGGAGGTTGGTCCTGACTGAGGTCCCAGCAGGGCCCACTTCCTCGTGTCCATAGGTCAACAAGGCCCCTGGTGCCAAGAAGGTCCTCTGCCCACAGGAGCACCCCAGCCTGGGTCCCTGAACTCTCCGGCATCGTCTTCCCTGGCAGCCCCAAGGCAAGACAGTCGGGTAAAGCAACCGGGGCCTTAGCAGGAAGCTGGGGTTCACGGTGTGGGCAGGAGCTGCAGCTCTACCGGGAAGCAGGTGGGTGAGGAGGGGGCGTGGAGGAGAGAGGAGAAAAGGATTAGGGAGCTTTCTGGTTTGTTTGGCTACTAAAATTAGCTGTTTGTGAACAGGAGGCGAGCTCGCACCTCTCCCCTCAGCATGGTCTGCTTTGAAACCCCAGGTGCTCGGCTAAAAATTGTATTGAAAGTTTCCACGCGGCAGGAGTGACTGAAATGAAGTGTCTGATACAGGATTGTCTTTCTTTCTTATCACATGTCACATTAGAGTTCTGATCTTGTTTTGACCGGCGTGTGCCTCCTAGCTTGTATGATGGGTGGGATATGAACGCAGGTATGAGCCTGTGAAATTGCATTTGCTTCTGTGTGTGCGAGACGGGGAGACAGTGAGAAAAGAGGAGGAAGAGAAGGAGGAGGGAGGGAGGAAGGGATGAAGAAGGAAATTATAAGAAGGAAGGAAAAGAAGGAGACACAGAGAGGAAGGAAGAAGGAGACATAGAGAGGAAGGAAGAAGGAGACACAGAGAGGAAGGACGAAGGAAGGGAGAGAGAAGGAGAAAGAGCGGGAAAGAGGGAGGAGAGACACAAACAGGAAGAGAGGAAAAAGAACAGAGAGAAAAAGAGAAACAGAAAGAAATACACACACACAGCCTTTGAGACCACTAGCTGTTTGGCTGTTACCAGTCAAAAGCCCAGCTCAGGTGAACATTAGGTGTCTTGTTGTTGGTTTTTTTGTTTGTTTGTTTGAGACAAGGTCTTGCTCTGTTATCCAAGCTGGAAGAGCAGATGGCATGATCGTTTCACTGCAGCCTCAAACCTCCCGAGCTCAATCTCCTGCCTCGGCCTCCTGAGTAGCTAGGACTACACACATCACACACGTGCACCACCATACCTGGCTAATTTTTTTTTTTTTTTTTTTTTTAAGCAATAGGGTCTCAAAGAAAGAAAGAAAGAAAGAAAGAAAGAAAGAAAGAAAGAAAGAAAAGAAAAGAAAAGAGAGAGAGAGGAGGGAGGGAGGGGGAGAGAAAGAGAGAGAAGGAAGGAAGGAAGGAAGGAAAAGGGAAGGGAAGAGAAAAAGAGACAGAGGGAGGGAAAGAGAATGAAATGAGCATCATTTCCAAATTCAGGCTGGGCACAGTCACTCAAGCCTGTAATCCCAGCACTTTGGGAAGCTGAAGTGGATGGATCATCTGAGGTTAGGAGTTCGATGCCAGCCTGGCCAACATGGCGAAATCCCATCTACTAAAAATACAAAAATTAGCTGGGCGTGGTGGTGGACACCCATAGTCCCAGCTACTTGGGAGGCTGAGGCAGGAGAATCACTTGAACCCAGCCAGGCAGAGGTTGCAGTGAGCCAAGATCATACCACTGCACTCCAACCTGGGCGATAGAGCAAGACTCTGCCTCAAAAAAAAAAAAAATTAATCTGTTTATTCTTCACAAATGTATTGAGTGCCAATCACATGCCCGTCACATGTCAGGCACCATCCTGGGAGCTGGAGTTAGCAGTAATCCTGTCACTTTGCTCAGAATCTCATGCAACCTGAAGCCTATGGCTGGCTCTCGAAGGGGAGTGGAGTGAATGAATGAGATGCCACAGCAGGGCCTGACAGTGCCTCCGCCTCTCCCAGCCTTGCACACGCTGAGCCAGAAGGCTGAGGCAGCACATCCGAGCCGACTGAGACCCCGTTAGCACTCTGGGCCGGGGGTGGCCAGGGCACCTGCCTGGCAGCCTCACCCTCTTCTGAAACCCGCTCTGCGTTGTGTACTCAGCTCTGCTCAGCCTCACACTCCCCGCACATCACTTGGTCCCCTCCGCTGCTCTTGGCTTTTGTCCTGTCTTCTGCCATAAGCCATATTGCATGGCTGCCCTGGGAGGAAGGCTTGTCTGTACCAGCAGCTGCCGGATTCAAGCCCAGGGGAGCTGCTGTGTCTTGTCGTCCCAGCCACGGGAGATGAGCATCGGTCCGTGTGCGTTCCGGGCCAACCCAGGCGGCTGTATGACAAGGGACAGGATGGCTGGCCTCACTTTATTTTTTTTCTAAGCCCCAGTGACATGTGTCTAGGGCCCTGTTTGATTTGTGTCTCGTGTCTTGTTTCTTCCCCTCCCCTCCCTTTTAGCTGCAGAGAGCCAAATCCCCCATCAGCCTGAAGCGAACATCAGATTTTCAAGGTTAGTGAGATGCCCGGGTCTCTCTCGGCCTGTCTCATCTGTCACTCTGTCTCTCTCAGTCCATCTGTTTCTCCCACCGTAGCGATCAATCCTGCAGGGTAAACATGGCGGGCTTTCGGGGGTCTCAGGGTGGTGGGGGTCCATCCAAATAGCAGTTAATGTTCATCGTCATTCGAAGCAGGCAGGAGCCCCGAGCACTGAAAGGTTCCCTCTGTGGTTCCCTCCACGCCTCCCCGCCTCTCCCGGTGGGTCTGTCCGGAACCCCTGGTGCATTAGCCGAACTGTGTGTTTTGCCTGTGGCTTCTCAGTGAGAGGACTCTTTGACCCTCTTCCAGACTTAGCTGGGTGGTCCCCCACAGGACCTCACAGGAGCCTGGTTCATTCGTCAGTCCCTGGTTCTCCGAGACACACTGCTTTCAGAATCTTCTCTTTTGTCCTCACCATGTCTCTGGGAGTAACACATCGGCTAGAAGGGTTTGCCCAAGCAAATCAAGCACCTACTACGTGCCAGGTGCTAGAAGGCCCAAGTAGATGCCCATAGACCCCACACACTGAGGCAGGGCCACGGCCAGGAGGCGGAAAGTGCATGGTTCCCGAGGGTGGTTGGACAAAGGTCAGAGAAGGATCCGTCAAGAAGGGTACATTTGGCCGGGCGCGGTGGCTCACACCTGTAATCCCAGCACTTTGGGAGGCCAAGGCAGGCAGATCACCTGAGGTCAGGAGTTTAAGATCAGCCTGGTCAACATGGTGAAACCCTGTCTCTACTAAAAATACAAAAAGTAGCTGGGCGTGGTGGCGGACGCCTGTAATCCCAGCTACTCGGGAGGCTGAGGCAGGAGAATCACTTGAGCCCAGAAGGTGGAGGTTGCAGTGAGCCAAGATGGCACCACTGTACTCCAGCCTAGCGACAGAGTGAGACGCTGTCTGAAAGAAAGAAAGAAAGAAAGAAAGAAAGAAAGAAAGAAAGAAAGAAAGAAAGAAAGAAAGAAAGAAGGAGAGAAGGAAGGAAGGAAGGAAGGAAGGAAGGAAGGAAGGAAGGAAGGAGGGAGGGAGGGAGGGAGGGAGGGAGGGAGGGAGGGAGGGAGGGAAACAAGGAAGGAAGAAGAAAGAAAGAAAGAGAGAAAGAAAGAAAAGAAAGAAAGAAAGAAAGAAAGAAAGAAAGAAAGAAAGAAAGAAAGAAAGAAAGAAAGAAAGAAAGAAAGAAAGAAAGAAAGAAAGAGAGAGAGAAAGAAAAAGGTGGGGGTGGAGTGTACATTTAAACTGGGGCTGGAAAAGGGAGCCTTTTGGTGGAGGGACACAGTGTCAGGTCAGAGAGGGGCCCGTAAACAGAGGTGTGGAGACCAAGAGGTGCACGGGCACCCAGAGTGCAAAGCAGGAGAGCACTGGGCTGAGACTGTGGGTGCCTCGCTGAAGAGATGGACTTCATCCCGCACGGCAAGGATGAAGCCTCCCCCAGGTGGCTTTGGGGTGGGCAGGACAGTGAAGAGTGCAGACCCATGCTTAAGGCTGTTCTCTCTGGACATGGAGGTAGAGGAGGGAGGCCAGGGCAGGGGGCCCCGTCCAGCTCCCTCACAGCCACATCCGGTGTCTCAACGGCCTTCTTTATCAGAAGGGAGGTGCAAAGGGCCTGGGGCCTGCAGGAAGCAGAGAAGGGGGTTGCACCAAAGGGAAGGGACAGGATGTCATGGCCATGGGGCTTCTTCGCTCCTCATCAGACCTTAGGCTGCCCAGTGCCAGGTGCTAGGGGCCCAGGGAAGGACAGCATATGGTTCCTCCCTACAAGACATCCGCTGATGGGGGTGCATGTACGTATATCTGTCTGTGCACACAACACGGGCACACACAGCAAGGGTGGGAGCAAGGAGGGGACACAGACAGCAAAGCCGTCAGACGAGGGCTGAGAGGACGGGCACATGGTCCCCAGGCAACTTGAAGCAGAGCCAGGGGTTGGGACAGGGACATCAAGGGAGGCTTCACCCTCTCTCCCTCTAGAGTGCCAACCGGGGCCCCAGCTCATCCCCCAACACCCTCTCCTGCTGTGGACCACCGTCCTGGGGCCCCAGCCTCATCCACCCCACCAGCCCCGACCCACCTCACCTTCCTCCCCAAGTCCCAGCCTCTGGGCTGCAGCCCCAGCCTCCCTTATGTTTATGTAGAGAGGTTTCCACAGACTTGGCCCCCAGTCTGTCCTCATCCCCATCAGCCAGCCCTGCTTGTCAGGGAGAGGCAGAGTCCATGGTGATGGCAGAGAATTGGACGGGAAGACTCAGGCCCCAGTTGTCCATTGTTCACAGAAAATGCCAGCCAGGGACCCCACACAAGTCCTCAGAGACACATGGCATTGTCCAGCTTTGACCCAGGCTGCCCAGGGGGTGAGCCTCGCTGGGAGCTGGGATATGTTGGCAAATGAGACCCCCCCCGCCAGAAGCCTACTGTGGTGGGGGGAGACAGGAAAAGAAGAGATAATTTTATGCCTGGGATACCAGCGCTTTGGGAGGCCAAGGCAGGAGGATCGCTTGAGGCCAAGAGTTCAAGACCAACCTGGGCAACATAGCAAGACGCCACCTCTATAAAAAACTTAATAAAAAACAAGAGGAGGTTTCTGAGGGCTCTTCCTCCAGCAGATGCCACAGAGAGGGGAGGGAGCCCCCAAGGGAGAGAAGAGGCCCCGGACCCACCTCGTTAGAAGAGGTTTGGGATGACACCAGACAGCCCTACGTGCCTATTGGCCATGGGGCTCTGACTTCCCTTTCCCTGCCTTTTCTCTCCCTTCCCTCTCTCTCCCACCTCAAACCCTCCCTGGCTCCCTTCTCCTTTCTCTGTCTCTCCCACCTTGTCTCCCATGAGGACAGCCAAGGGGCACGAGGAAGAAGGCACGGACGCCAGCCCCAGCTCCTGTGGATCTCTGCCCATCACCAACTCCTTCACCAAGATGGTGAGCTGCGGCCTCTGCCTGACCTGCGGGTCCCCTCCGTTGTCTTTCCCTGCAGAACACTGTCTGGGGCCCCAGCTCATGCTCACCACCCACTCTCCCTCCAGAGCTCATCCCATTGCCCTCTCCCACTGCAGAATGCCATCCAGGGCCCCAGCTGGTCCCCACCACCTACTGCCCCTGCAGAATGCCATCCAGGGCCCCAGCTGGTCCCCACCACCCTCCTCTCCCTCCAGAGTGCCATCCAGGGCCCCAGTTCATCCCCCAACACCCTCTCCTGTTGCAGAACACCGTCCCAGGGCCCTAGCCTCATCCACCCCACCAGCCCCGACCCACCTCACCTTCCTCCCCAAGTCCCAGCCTCTGAATGGCACTGCTGCGTGCTCTGGGCTGCAGCCCCAGCCTCCCTTATGTTTATTTAGAGAGGTTTCCACAGCCTCGCAATGTATTTACACCTTCTTGCCACCTCCCTTCCCAATTCAACACTTGGTGGGAGGAGGAGCTGGGCCTCCCAGGGGCTGTCACGCATGGCACAGGCGGTGAAAATTCTGCCGCAACTTCTCAGCCTCTGGCAACTCCAGCAGCCTGGGGAGCCGGTGGCAGGCAGGGCACAGAGCCGGGAGCAGCTGGAGCCTCTACAGAGCTGAGGCTCGGGGCCCCCTCACCAGCCCAGAACCCCTACCCGGGCAGAGCCGGGCAGGGTCCCAACCACTGCATCCAGCATTGCCCACTCCCCTCCAGGCAGCAGAAGGCCCAGGATTAGAAATTCTAACCCCGAGGGGAAGCCCTGAGAAGCTTGTCAGCTCAGCTTCCAAAATCAGGCCCTGGGGGAGGTAGAGATTTTATAATGAATGATTCCTGTCTGATGGCGGCCCTGGGTGGCAGAATCCCAGGCTCTTACTAAGAGCAGCTCTGGCCAGGAGCCAGCAGGCCTGCTTTCAAAGGTCACCCTCCAGCAGCTGTGCCGTCCGGGGGCACCACTGCCCTCCCCACGCCCCAGGCCCACACTGTTCACCGTGTTTAGAGCAGGTGCCCACAGCAGGTGCAGCCCGGGAGCCTCGAGCTCAGCCTGTACACCGTGGCCAGGCAGTGCCCCAGTCCCCCAGTCAGCCAGCTCCTGCCTGCGTCCTCCCTGTGAGCAGATGTGCAAGCAGATGTGTTCCAAGCTCGGCAGCTGCGGCCGCGCCGGGCTGAGCACGAGCCTGCTCCAGCCAAGGTTGCCCCTGAGAGCCAGCTCGCTGCCCCCACGCCGCCTGAGTAGGAGCCGGGCATGATTTTGTGTTGAATTTAGTCCCTGCGTGTGTCATATTTATGCGCCCGTAATGTGTGTGTGTCTGTGTCTGAAGCAGCCCCCCCGGAGCCGCAGCAGCATCATGTCAATCACCGCCGAGCCCCCGGGAAATGACTCCATCGTCAGACGCTACAAGGAGGACGCGCCCCATCGCAGGTGGGTGGCAGGTGAGGGAGGACTGGGCGTTTGCCCCATGCCACCATGCCAAGCCTCCTTACCCCGTCTCCAGGCCAGTCCATGCTTGCTGACCCAGCCATCCTCAAAGCTACCCTAAAAGGCAGGGTGCTGCTCATCGTACAGTTGAGGAGGCTGAGGCTCAGAGGAGGGAAGTGGCCGCCCCAGGTTCACCGAGCTGCCTATCCAAGGACGAAACCCATGACCCACGGCTCCATGCTGACCAGAAATCAGGTTCTGGGGCCCCACGGCCACAGGGCTTGGCATTTTCTGCCAAAGAATAAGAAACTCAAGGCTGGGCGCGGTGGCTCATGCCTGTAATCCCAGCACTTTGGGATTACAAGGCCAAGGCGGGTGGATCACCTGAGGTCAGGAGTTCAAGACCAGCCTAACCAATATGGTGAAACTCCATCTCTACTAAAATTACAAAAAATTAGCTGGGTATGGTGGCAGGCGCCTGTAGTCCCAGCTACTCGGGAGGCTGAGGCAGGAGAATCGCTTGAACCCGGCACGTAGAGGTCGCAGTGAGCCAAGATCGTGCCCCTGCACTCCAGCCTGGGCGACAAAGCGAGACTCCATCTCAAAAAAAAAAAAGAAAGAAACTCATGAATGGCTTCTGCAATCTCCTCTCCCACCTTCCTTACTTCCCGAAAACCATTAGTGTCCTCACAAGGAGAAGTACAGTAGAAGTATGCCTGCGCTATGGGTGTTTCCAGCCTGCCAGGATTTGGCACGTCACCTACAAAGTCAGAGGTTGTTGGGCGGTTTCCCGAAGGGCAGAGAGCAAGCGTGGCCGAGGAGGCTGGATCCACACCCCGGGTCCTGCTGGCGCCTGGGTTTGGGCCTCTCAGCATGGCCTTCCCTGGTTGGCTCCAGAGATCAGCAGCAAAGATCTGCTTAGGCCGGGCACAGTGGCTCACACCTGTAATCCCAACACTTTGGGAGGCTGAGGTGGGTGGATCACCTGAGGTCAGGAGTTCAAGACCAGACTCGCCAACATGGCAAAACCCTATCTCTACTAAAAATTAAAAAATAAAAAATAAAAATAGCTGGGCACGGTGGCAGGTACCTGTAATCCTAGCTACTGGGGAGGCTGAGGCAGGAGAATCGCTTGAACCCAAGAGGCAGAGGTTGCAGTGAGCCAAGATTGCACCATTGCACTCCAGCCTGGGTGACAGGAGGAAAACTCCATCTCAAAAATTAAAAAAATAAAAATAAAAAACAGACCCACGCCAGCCCCTCCACCAGCAGCTGTGTTGTGGGGGCTCCCTCTGGCCAGCCGGGGGCAGGTGTTGAAAGCAGCTTTCAGAAGCCACATGTGGTGTCTGCACCAAAGCCACCTGCGCCTGGAAGCACGATTGCAAACACCACATGCAGACAATTGAGAACTCCAGAGCACAGCAAGCTTGCTCCATCCACTCCTGCTGAGGGGCGCTCTGCTCCCAGACCCATCACACAGGGCAGATGGATCTCTGTCCTGTACCATGTCAGAGAAGAGTGAGAGAGATGTAAACAGCAGGTGGGGCCGGTGGGGCCTCTGTTCACCTGCCCTGGCTTCCCTCCTCCCCCACTGGAGGACACAACCTCCAAGGCCTCTGGGCCACCCACCCTTCTGGGGAGGCTCCTGCCTCCTCCACCCCTCCTTGTCCCAAACTCCTCCGCCCACACTGCCCTCTCAGAGGCAAGGCCACTCAGAAGCCCGGAACCTTCCAGAAGCTTCCCTCTCCCTCACCTGCACGCGTGTGCACACACACACGCACTCACACACACTCACACGCATGCTTTCCCTGCCCTCCCTTGTGTCTTGCAGCACAGTCGAAGAAGACAATGACAGCGGCGGGTTTGACGCCTTAGACCTGGACGGTACGTGCCTCTCAGATCCGGGAGGGTCCTGGGTAGGACGGGTCGCAGAGGGTCACAGGTGGAGGGTCGCAGATCCTTAAGACCTACTATGTGGAATGGACTCAGAGTCACCCTTGAACACAGAAGCTAAGCCTCTGTCCCCCAGGGGCCTTGCCCATGGCCAAGAGATGCCCTGTGAGCTTGTTCTTTGTCTTGTAGGTAATGGGGGCCCATCCAGCTGTTGTGCAGAGGGCTTGAGCTAGGTCTGGGCTTTTAAAAAGCGTAGCTCTCACGTACTGTAGCCAGGCACCATGGAGGGGCTCGACCTGCATACCTGATCCAGTTTCATCTCAACAACTGCTCTCAGAAATGCTATTGTTACCCTCATTTTATAGATAAAGAAAGGAGCCTCAGAGACAGGAAGGAACAGGAGGGCAGAGGGAGGGCTGGGAGCAGGGCGTTCTTGTAAGAAATTCATGTACTGAGCTGTTAACCAGCCTGTGCAAAAGGAGTACAGAATGCAGATGGAGAGGCCGATATTGGAGGGACAAGGCCAGGGGAAGAGGCCAAGCTTGGAGGTGCAAGGCTGTGGGGAGAGGCCCTGGGCAACATAGGAAGATCCAGTGTCAAAAAAGAAAGAGAGAAAGAGAGAAAGAGAGAGAGAAAGGAAGGAAGGAAGGAAGGAAGGAAGGAAGGAAGGAAGGAAGGAAGGAAGGGAAAAAGAAAAAGGAAAGAAAAGAAATTAGCTAGGCATCGTGGTACATACCTTTAGTCCCAGCTACTCAGGAGGCTGAGGCAGGAGGATCTCCTCAGCCCAAGAGTTGGAGGCTGCTGTGAGCTATGATCGCACTACTATACTCCAGCCTGAGTGAGAGCAAGACCCTGTCTCAATAATAAGAGAGAGAGAGAAAAGAAAGAAGAAAGAAAGAAGGAAGGAAGGGAGGGAGATGGGAGGAGAAAGAAAGAAAGAAAGAAAGAAAAGAAAGAAAGAAAGAAAGAAAGAAAGAAAGAAAGAAAGAAAGAAAGAAAGAAAGAGAGAGAGAGAGAGAGAGAGAGAGAGAGGGAGGGAGGGAGAGGGAGAGAGGGAGGGAAAGAAAGAGAGAGAGAGAGAAAGAAAGAAGAAAGAAAGAAAAGAAAGAAAAAGAAAGAAAGAAAGAAAGAAAGAAAGAAAAAGAAAGAAAGAAAGAAAGGAAGAAAGAAAGAAAGAAAAGAGAGAGAGAGGAGGGAGGGAGGGGGAGAGAAAGAGAGAGAAGGAAGGAAGGAAGGAAGGAAGTGGAAGGGAAGAGAAAAAGAGACAGAGGGAGGGAAAGAGAATGAAATGAGCATCATTCTTAGACCAGGCTGGGTACAGTCACTCAAGCCTGTAATCCCAGCACTTTGGGAAGCTGAAGTGGATGGATCATCTGAGGTTAGGAGTTCGATGCCAGCCTGGCCAACATGGCGAAATCCCATCTACTAAAAATACAAAAATTAGCTGGGCGTGGTGGTGGACACCCATAGTCCCAGCTACTTGGGAGGCTGAGGCAGGAGAATCACTTGAACCCAGCCAGGCAGAGGTTGCAGTGAGCCAAGATCATACCACTGCACTCCAACCTGGGCGATAGAGCAAGACTCTGCCTCAAAAAAAAAAAAAAAAAATTAATCTGTTTATTCTTTCACAAATGCATTGAGGCCAATCACATTCGTCACATGTCAGGCACCATCCTGGGAGCTGGAGTTAGCAGTAATCCTGTCACTTTGCTCAGAATCTCATGCAACCTGGAAGCCTATGGCTGGCTCTCGAAGGAGTGGGAGTGAATGAATGAGATGCCACAGCAGGGCCTTTACAGTGCCTCCGCCTCCCAGCCTTGCACACGCGAGCCAGAAGGCTGAGGCAGCACATCCGAGCTGACTGAGACCCCGTTAGCACTCTGGGCCGGGGTGGCCAGGCACCTGCCTGGCAGCCTCACCTCTTCTGAAACCCGCTCTGCGTTGTGTACTTCAGCTCTGCTCTGGCCTCACACTCCCCGCACATCACTTGGTCCCCTCCGCTGCTCTTGGCTTTTGTCCTGTCTTTCTGCCATAAGCCATAGCCAGGCTGCCCTGGGAGGAAGGCTTGTCTGTACTCCAGCAGCTGCCATGGATCTGGCCCAGGGGGAGCTGCTGTGTCTTGTCGTCCCAGCTACCGGGAGAGCACGGTCCGTGTGCGTTCCGGGCCAACCCAGGCGGCTGTATGACAAGGGACAGGATGGCTGGCCTCACTTATTTTTTTTTCTAAGCCCCAGTGACATGTGTCTAGGGCCCTGTTTGATTTGTGTCTCGTGTCTTGTTTCTTCCTCCTCCCTTTTAGCTGCAGAGAGCCAAATCCCCCATCAGCCTGAAGCGAACATCAGATTTTCAAGGTTAGTGAGATGCCTGGCCCTCTCGGCCTGTCTCATCTGTCACTCTGTCTCTCTCAGTCCATCTGTTTCTCCCACCGTAGCGATCAATCCTGCAGGGTAAACATGGCGGGCTTTCAGGGGTCTCAGGGTGGTGGGGGTCCATCCAAATAGCAGTTAATGTTCACTGCCATTCGAAGCAGGCAGGAGCCTCTGAGCACTGAAAGGTTCCTCTGTGGTTCCCTCCCACGCCTCCGCTCCCGTGGGTCTGTCCGAACCCTGGTGCATTAGCTGAATTGTGTGTTTTGCCTGTGGCTTCTCAGTGAGAGGACTCTTTGACCCTCTTCCAGACTCCCTAGCTGGGTGGTCCCCCACAGACCTCACAGAGCCTGGTTCATTCACATAGTCCCTGGTTCTCCGAGACACACTGCTTTCAGACCTTCTTTGTCCTCACCATGTCTCTGGGAGTAACACATCGGCTAGAAGGGTTTGCCTGTTAAATCAAGCACCCCACATGTGCCAGGTGCTAGAAGGCCTAAGTAGATGCTCATAGACTCCCACACACTGAGGCAGGGCCACGGCCAGGAGGCGGAAAGT